TAAACATTTGCTTTTCGCGCCGATTATCTTCACGGACTGGCGACCGAGAAAACACAGATTGTTTAATCGTACATAATTATCCTTAAGGCCTACGTTAATTGTTCATCGTATTTTCATTGTCGTGCCGACAATGTCAACGTCAAGTAAATTAGAAAAATTGTCGAGAAGACTAATTCTAAGCGATTAAAGGAGGAAGGAAAAAATTAAGACAAAAAAATTCTTTGCTAAATTTAAAATTTCGGCTTTATTTAACGAAGAAATTAAAGTAATATGATAAACTGTACCATCGAAAAATGACTATAAATAAGTAAATAATTTAATAATATAAATTAGAAATTTCTTCTGCACGTCAATTGTGTAAATAATAATTTTTAATTTAAAAATAGCGTTGAATAAAAAATACAAGAATCTTTTAATCGAATTATCGATTATTGATACATACATAAAGACGCATATGCGGCTTTAAAAATACTTTTTCGACTCGCGACATTCCTTTCTTTCCTCGAGTTTACCAATATTATCGATTTCAACGTTGATGTTACGCGGAAAATCGCATCGCATTCAAATTATGTGATATTTCCGTTGTCAGAGCCGTGAGATATCGATTATTTCATATTCTTAGGAATTAAAGTGCAATCGATAGCGTTTTTCGAATTCTGGAGACTGGACATTTTGTTAGATTTTATTTTTAATCTTTTTTCATAAAAACATTTCTTTACAAATGCAATTCTTTATAAATAGATTCTAGATATTTTTTTTAAATATTGCGAGTGCAATATAATTTTTTTGAGAATTCAATCGGCACATAAAGAGTTGGAAAAATCAAATAAGTTCATACGGTATAAGTCATATTTTAAAATAAATTACGAATTTTTGCGTAGAAAATATTCCAATTTTTAATTAAAAATAGTACTCTACAAAGATCTGAAATATCTCGAAGTGATGACAATGCGAAATCTCGCCATATAAATACAATGTAAACAATTTTGCGTATAATAAGACTGGAGCTCGTCAAAGACCTGCGCGATGCTCGTGTGGAAACGATAAAATCGTTACCAAGCTTTCCGATAATATCGCGGGGGTAGATTTGCACAAACCCTCTTTCCCTCCTCCAGAGTGAGGGCGAGTGGCAGAGAATGTAGATACCTGGTCCCAAACTGTACATTATACACGCGTTGCGAGTATTGATCACGTCGTCGGCGCGACGTTCCGGAGCGGCCATCTTCGAGAAAAGAGGAAATTGTTCGCAAAATTGACGCGCAGTTTTCTCCCAACGTGATAAAAAATTCCACGTGAAAATCTTTCGTGCCCAAAAGAGCGTCTCTATTCATTAGCATAATGAGAATGTCAACTATAGTCCGGAAAACAACATATGATTCACGGATTTCTGTATGTCAAATACATGAAAAAAGTGAAAATAAAAATGAAACATCTCTTCCTACTCTTAAACTATTTCATTAATTATTTCTATTTAAGTATTTTAAAGATACATTTTTCGAATGTACTTATCAATAACATATATAATTTTTTTATTTATTTCTCACGCAGAAAATGAAAATTATCATTTTTATAAGATTTTTGCACCTTCTGTCTTTAAAAGAACTTTATCTATCTCGATTTTTGCTCCAGTTGCATCGAATTTTTTTCATGCTGAATTGAAAAAATTTTTTAAAATTATAAGGAAAAAATATTTCGCGTTTGTCCAAAAAAATATCTATGCTGCTCGTCGTTTCTGCAACGGTATGTCGAGCACGGAAATCGCGCGAAGTCCTAGAAAACAGACACGAGTAACCCGAGACACGCGTGTAGATCGTGTATAGTGTTTTCTCAGAGCGTCACGCACGATCTGCCGCTATAAAGGTGTGAGTCAGATTATGAAAATGTATCGAGCCTCGGCATTTGAAAGAACGTTGAAAGAAAAAAGAAAAAAAGGCCGCTAACGACATGTTTGAGGTAAATCGACTCGGACAGAAACAGAGTCTGACTTTAAGTTGCGTGAGGTATATCGATGCACTATTATCGTGCAATTATGTACGCTTCTCGACGAAGTCTGTCTTCTCTATCTGTCACATCGAGCGTATACTCTCGTATATATTCTCGTACAGATGAATGAATCCCCGACGACGCGACGAACGTAAATCTTTCCTGGAAGAGATCCGGAATGGCGTCCCGCGAATTTCCGCCTCATCGCATTCCGATAACGCATAAACGCCACGTTATCAGCAAGGCGCGATCTGTATCCAGTGTTTGCTGTTATCCAAACAAAATTATATAGATGATCATTCAGATGAAACTTTGACGTCATCTTAGTTTTATATATGTAGATAATAAAAATATATGTATTATCTATATCTGCATCTTAGATGAAAAAAAGTATTATTTTTACTAAATTATCTAGAATAATTTTCAGATTTTGGTTTAGAATCATATTTTAGAAACATAAAAATACTTAAAGAACTTAAGCAATAAGCAATAAAAATTTATAAATAAAAATATAAATACATATATTTTTATATCCCTTTATAATTTACATTTTTTATAACTGCGTTTACATAAGCAGTCTTAAAAATTGTTATCTAGAAAATGATCTAGATGAATCGCCATATAATTTTATCTTTTATCTAGAAATATTTAAAATAAAATCATCTTCATTTTACCTAAGATGAATTTCCATATTTTTTATTTCATCTTTATCTAACTAATTTTAAAATCATCTAAGCATAACACTGTCTGTAAAAGAACAAGCGTGTATCTCACAAGATAACTTCCGTTCATCCTAATCTCCTTCTCGATTACAATATGTCTCGCCGATTCGCGCAGAAGAATGCATATACAGGATATCGAATGGAATTCGCTAATTAATAAAATTGATGTGTTATTGAAATATTTCCGATAGGATACATGTAGTTATTGAATATCCGCGATATCTTGGACATATTTTTTTTCATGATAAGCAGTTCGCAATTATCATCCATGGTCTTACTTAATATACGAGCTATCAGCTTGGTCGTGCCTGATAGTCAGTCGATTTAAATTCGCAGGTATATATTACAGCTATATGCATAATAATGTATTCCGCGGACACGTGCACGTGCGTGAGTAATAAGTTTATGCACCGGGTTGCGTGTACACGAGCGAGACATACGAGCCGTTTTGATTCATCCAGCATGGCACCTATGACATACGATAAAATCCCGATTACTTTATGATTCAGCATTAAAAAAAAACACTTTTACCTAATGCATTCGACAAATGTAAACATTGGCACGACGCGGTTCTCGCGTTGCGAAATTCTACCGCAAATAATAGCTTTCCGTACACTATAATTTGACACTACAAATATCATCAAATCTCGCTTTAATCTTCGCAGCTGCTGGAGTATCTTAAAATATTGTGTGTTGATAATCGTCGTTTAGATAATACACGTATCTTGTATATACGATGAGTTCACTAAAGATAATTCAGAACGCACAAAATAGATTGATTTATCGATGTGTTTACACTTATTCACTAAATCACTAAATTATATTATTTTATCTTAGTTATATTTTGTTGAATAAAATTTAATATTGATTATTTTAGATTTTAGATTGAAACGTTTGGATTATTAGGATATTTCTAACTTTGAGAGATATGTTTTTAAAGTCTGATAAAAATTGCAGAGAATCATACATATTGATATGTCACATCTCATTATTAATTATTGGAGAATTGATGCGAAGAAAAGAATTTGATGAAATAAAACGAACGACAAACAGATATAAAGTTTGCAATAATTTCGTGTTAAAAAATGCAATTTTATATTGTTTTATTAAATATTTATTTTACAGTTAGCAACGATAGTTAGGGCGTGCTGTGTCTCGATGCGTCCGGCAATTATTCGTGACCTCGCGTAATTATCATTGCTGATAAAACTGCGATAATTTTCATCGGTTATTGAACGTGAGCATTGGTAAAACTATTGCGTAAAAGAGAGAGAGAACCTTATTTTTCCTTTTGTAAATTAGCATTTACAATGCTGTCTGGCCTTATTTCACTTTGTAATCATAATCGACGTTCGGTTCTTAAATATTCAAAGGTTGCTCAATAATACAAACAGTCAAAACATAGTAAAACAATTTGTACAAATTGTTTTCCTCATAGCGAAACTAATTTCGATCTCAACTTCTTCTCAGTTAAACGTTGACAACTATAACTGACTGTGGAAACCTTTGAAATGTATCAAAATAAAGGACCAAACTTTTGTGTTTCATTACAGAGAACTACAGGAAATTAACAAAATTGCATATAGTCAATTAAATTGCGCTGAATTAACTTGAAACTTTAGTCATTCAACTAACATTTACAATTTTATTATCGCTTTCATTACATAAGATTGCATCATTCTGCTTTATAATATATACTTTTATAATTTTTTGTAAAGAATTTATGTTTTAATTGCATAGATGCTTATGTTAAAAAATCATAATTTAACACGAAACAATAACGAGAAGAATAACATAAATAAATTAAGCGGTCTATTATTGTGAACTATTATTATATCTTGCACCGCTGTAATACAAATCGCTACAGCCATTAAAATAATTAAACCGGTCATTGATGCGTAATACGCGCGTTTACATCGAATTAATCACGGATAAATTCGCTCGATAATTTTCCGTATCACTACCCAGACAGCACCAAATCCAAAATCGGCGCATAAGATATCTTTAAAATATGTTTAAGATGTCTTTCCGATATCATAAGATTTCTTAAAGATTTCTTAATGATATCTTATGCGCTAATTTTGGGCTTGGTGCTGTCTGGGTACAGAAGCATATCTCGTTCATTTCGGTTTTCTTCCGTATTTCCAGCATTGTCATCTCACTTTCATCATACTTTTCCACATTCTTCCACTTTTTTCTTCTCTATTGTTCACCGCATCCGTTGCCACACTTCCCGTTCAAACGATAAGGAAAAAACCGATAAAGTCGTTTCTTGGAGAATTATATACTCGATGTTGCACGTTTTTCTAGGTCAAACACGGCTTTTTTCTTCTCGCGGGTGGGAGAGGAATTACACGCCGGTGAGATAATGATTCACGCGGTTTCATTATCTCATTGTCAGATATACACTGGAAACGTACTCCGCCTCGAATCGTTTGATCAATTAGAGTCAAAGGGAGCAGAGATTTTTGTCCCGATCGCGATCGGTCGCGAAAAAGTCCGTGCAAAAAGTCGAGAAAGGTGGATATGGTGGTTTCGAGAGGTAGTGTGACGTCACGTGCGTTCTTTCCGCGATCGGTTCACTCGTCGATCGCCGTTCGACCGGTATGGTTTCGCCGATTCCGTCTTCCTTGACTTCTTGAGAGGCCTCGAGAGAAGAAGTTGCGCGCAATAACGCGAATTATCGATCGCGACTTTTGGATCGCGCGCGTGTGTCAATCAGTTATTTATATATATGTATAATATAAAGTGCAAACGATGAAGAAGCTAAACATGTTCGCTCTTTTCAAGAAATACACGTCGCGAAGCGATCGCGATGCAACGCCTTTGTTGATGAGTAATAATGCGGAAAACGGGGTGAATTATGTGTCAGGTGAGGCGAGTCGGTCGCACTTTTAATCGAAATCATTTTTAAATAAATTCCCTTTCATTATAATAGTGAGAAATTAAAGAAAAACTAAGCTAATTCGCATCATCGTCTAGAAAAGATTTATGTAGATCAACGAAAGACACTTTTGATAGATTTTCAATCTTATAAACATTTCCTTTCTTCTTATTGTTAGTGCTAGTTTGGATAGAATTCTTATTCATGCGATAAGAAATAAAAATTGTATCATGGAAAAAAGAATCAGCTATCATAGCTAATACATTTTACCTGTCCTCATATTACAACCTGAAATTTAATTATCTTGCCTCAATTTTAGCTATGGTAACTAATATTTTTTAGCTATAGTTTAACGAAAAATTTTAAAAAATATTAGTAGTTAGTAAATAGTAGGTACTGAGATGTGACGTATCACTATGTAAGACTCTCTGCAATCTTCTATCAGACTTAAAAAAATATTTCAAAGTTAGAAATATCCTAATAATGTAAACGCTCCAATAATTTAAAATAAATGATATCAAATTTCATTTAACAAAATATCATTAACACAAAATAATATAATGATAACTAAATTTTATGTGTAATATAGGGATAGATAAAAAACTATAGTAGCTAATTTTTTCCATGTATATAACAAAATTAATATACAGACATATAACATATAAATTTGATATCTTAATTTTAGTATACAGTGAACCAATTTTTCAAACTTAATAACACTCGACAAGTATATTTTTGAATGTCATAAAATCTGAATTTTCTTCTTCGTGTTTTATGTTAAAAAAAAATTAAAATTCATACAGCTATTTTCGCATTTCGTCATTGGAAATACGTGACGCTCCTAGTATCGAGTGTGAGCAACTCGAATTGTTATTATCCAAGATGTACCTTTCATCTAGCTCTTCACGAGTGTGTCTCCGTATTGACATTCAATTTCTCATCTGCTTAGCGGAATCCCGGAGTCTGAATCGCGGAGACCTTGCGGTCGCTAAAAACTCCGACGCACGCTGCACGATTATTCATGAATATGTCAGGCGTGATATGTCTCTTCCTGAATTCAGCAGCAGCGTTCACCACATTTATACGTTCGCCGTCGAGATGATCGCGTCAAGGTTTCCACACATTTTTTCGCACATTCGCACATTGTGAGGGCTGCAGCTGTGCCACGTGTGGCGATTCAATTCGCACGTTTCTGCATTGTCCCCGTACGTTTCTGCGTTCTCGTCACCCTCCACGCGATGCAACGACGATCGCTCGATGCGCACATCGTCGACACGAGATCCAAATTAATAGTTATTTGCGCATACTGAATATACGCTCGTAAATGTCGCCTTTAACGGCGGTCGTTTAATTGCGCTTGAAGAATCTTTGGGGTTTTACGGCTCAACTACTTCGTCGCAACGCGGAGATCATACCGTAATTTAAATACGGGAATTTTATGTCGATTACATCACTTAGGCTATTGTTGATTACGGTAAAAGATATGATAAAAAGCTCAATTTCCCCTGATAATTTTTTTTTTTTAGAAAAATCTAAATTAGGCAATCAATTAGATAAGAAACTCGAACCTCTCAAGATACGACGTGATAAAGATGTATAATATTTATTGGGGTCTTTCATAACTGGTCAATGATCTCTCACACAACTGATTCCAGAAAGCATGAATTTTGTTTATATGTGTGATGTCATTTGTATACAGAGATAATTTTTTTTTAGAATTTACCCCGAAAATCATGGGACAACCATGGGAAGAATTTTATGAGTTTTTCTGATTAATATTTACCACAAATATTAATATCTATCACAAGATATTAAATATATTTTCGATGTTTAATTTTACTATATAAAATTTATTATGTGCATACTAATATTTTTATGGTAAATATTAATTAGAGAAACTCTTATATAAAATTCTTCTAATATTATATTGTCCCACGATTAACATGATTTTCACGGTAAATTTTAAGAGAAAATTCTCTCCGTGTACAAGATTATTTGAGAAATGACGAGAAGAATCTAAATAAAGATCAACATTATTTTGTAGAATAAAATTTAAAAAATTCAAATTTTTTTAAATTTAGAATTTTCCTTTCTACTTTCAGAACGTTACGTATAAATGAAAAGGAATGCGAGACGCATTGCGGTAAAGTTGATTCCAATTTTTTACAAAATCGATTGAACGAGAGGTCATTATTATGGATCTCAAGGCCTCGTCACGCAATATGTTCAATTAATTTGCCGTTTCAATTCGCTGTTTTTTGCTCGCCCACTCGTTTTTTTTTGTTTCTCGTCTTTCATTTTCACACGCTGGCATTCCGATTACATTTACTATTGAAATTATTAGAGCTTGACGAAGGAAAAAAAGCAAAAGTCGGATCGAACATCTATAATAGAGAATAATTTTATGTATGCGTGGTGCGTGCATTTAATATCTTATTTCTTGTCTCATTTCTCTGTTATACGTTTACTATCTAAACCACCAGACCTTAACGAATAAAAAAAGACAAAGAAAAGTCAGATTAAAAAGGACAGGTTGTAATATAAATATACATGGAGTTGAAGGAAGAGGTTCTCGAGGTTTTCAAACGCCTTTCATTAAATTGAATAAAAAGATCAATATATGAACCGTATAATAATATATTAATTAAGTATTATAAAAAATAATTTCTGGAGATGATAGCAATAGCAATTACTTTAGATTTGTTCAAGAAAAAATAATTATACATAATATATGCGGGCGCAAACTCGAGTAAAGAGATCTTCAACATCTCCTGCTTGATTGAATCAATTAGTGAACCCCGATAATCGCGCTTATACATAATTGCGATAAGCAGCCGATATTGTCTAAAGTATAATCAACTTTTTCTTGGCTCTTTGATTCGTTTCATATTGTAATTTTGCTATAATAATAATTCATTATTATGACAAAATTATGTAAGTAGGTAATGAACTCTTATATTATTCTTGATACCTGGTTCCTTGAAATCGATAAAAAAATAAGAAATAATTAACATCGAAAAATCGCAAAACATTGTGCGACATACTTAGTGTCTGAAAATAACGTTTGAAATTTTTGGTCATTCTTTTTTTTATTGCGCTGAATGCATTTTGTTGAAATGCGGGCGCGTAGAATGAAAGCATTTAATTGGATTAAAAGGCCGAGCGGATACTCGTTCAACTTAATTACTTGCGTCAGTTTGCATTAACCACTGCAGTTGTGCTAAATTCTATTAAATTCCCCTTCGTAGCCGGTCCATTGCGAGACAAATTTCGTCAAGTAGGTATATCTTGTATAGAGAATACGGGGCCCACATATGCTTCACACACGAATATATGTAAGTGCATTTTATTCATTTTTTTCTTTGAATTTGTTAATTATTTCTCTCTATAGATAGTAAAAAGATTATTTTCCTTCAAATTATACTCTGCTTTGTCCCGCCGAATTCCTTCACAGCGCTTGTGTATGGAATTTGTAGTTCTAATTTTAGCAAAACCGTGATTCACTAAATATCCGTGGATTTCGCAAGCAAGTTTTGTACTATAAGGCGAGGTCGCACTAAATCATGTTGCTTGATAATATTTTGCGTTTGAAATATTTACTATGTTTTTTCATAATATTAACAAGTGTAATAATTAATCAAAAATTATAAACGATATAGGTATTTAAATTGAATTTAAGTTTGTATCATACAAATAAATATAAAAAGCTTGCAATATTTGAAATAAATAATTCGACAAATTTTATGATTAAAACAACAATAATAAAATAATACTATGTTTTGTTATTAAAGATTACAATGTTTGTACTAATATTTCAAATTAATCTTATATCATATATTATACAATGTTACATTATGATTTAAGATAGAAGATACATGTAATATGTTGAAAAAAAAAAAAACTTTTATTTATATCAATAATTTACTGCGCTGCCAATGTTTTTAATAATTCCATGTTTCTATCTTTACAACTTATGACATCGAATATGTAACTTTACGTATTTTCTTCGCGACACTTAATGCAGTTACACGCACAATCAATAATGTTTACGAGTATCCGTGATGCCTGTTTCAATGAGCCACTCCTCGGCACATAAACACATGCGTACATTAAAATTCTCATAGCGACGTGATGATTAATAATAGGGCACAATATTGATGCCCTCACTTTGCCATAAATTACATTATTACGAAGTGAAGTGTGACACGCGCGATGCACAAATGTAGGTCTGCAAAATATAAATTTTTATTGCCTCAGTTTAGGTATATTTGCAGTAGCAAATGATATATAAGAGTGAATAATGACTTATACATTTGTTATGTTTCTCGATATCAGGACTTGACTCACGTCGATCCCTTTTTCTTCAGAATTTTGCGATACAATTATAATTATACTTTATGATCAAATTTATTATTATAAATTAATTAAAATAATATTATTATAATGTATTATTATAATTAATTTATTTTTATTTCTATTGCATTTTTTTATATTCCATTATACGAGCGATATTTAATTATTCTGCTCGAAAAAATTGTCAGTATGGAAATACAGAGCTTATGTCATAGAGTATTAAAAGCCGCTGTTATTTCGAGTAAGTACTTTGGTGACAATATCTTGTATTTTTGCACCGCTTAAGTTTTGCAACGAACATAAGATCTCGACTTTTCAAACAGACTCATTCACGGCCGTTCTGAATATCATTAGTGCCTCTTCCTGCATCTTACGTCGTCAAAGAGACCAGCCGATTACGATCGTTTAGCGCGCGCGGCAATTATCCATTCGAACCACGATGTTTCAGCTGTTCGACGATTAACACCTTCCGATATCCTCAATCGGTGCGTATCCGCGTTCCTCGCAATGACGGAATTGTTCTCCCTACCGGAAATCCACGGAGTGCACACGGAGTGTAAAAGAGCGTGCTTGTTCTTGCATTTTTGCGTCAATGAACAATGACGTTCGCACCTTGTAATATTAATAATATGAAAAAAAAGAATTTATTTTTAGAAGAATTTAGAATTACAATTTCAGGAATAACAAAGGCTTGTAAAAGTCAGGAACAGATATTGAAAATGTAACAAAATTATTCTTCTATATACTTATTTTGTATTTTATTCCAGAGAAAAATATAATTTTATCAAATGTTTTTATAGCTGAATTCCTATTTATCCGAGCCGTAGACATCCGCAGGAATTTGCCTCCTTTGGAATTAGTATACAAAAGATAAGAATTTATTCTCCTTTTGAAACACTAGAATTTATTTGTATATTTAATATAAAAAAATGAAAATAACAAAATAAGAAAAAAGTTTTTAAATTAAGAAAGAACAAAAAATAAAAAATAAGAAAAAATTAATTATGCCACCTCTTGGAAAAAATTCTGTGAACGTCCATGCTCAGAGTCTTTTCGATTTATTATTTTCATTTAGAATTATTTTCTTCATTTCCGGCTTGGATTATTGTCTCTGATAAGTAATTTCGGTAACAAAATTAATCAGGGCATATCTTCAATAAAAAGAAAAGTTTTGAAGAAAAAAACAATTGTAGGAAGAATTCTGAGAAAAATTACACTTTTTGTGAATTTTATCACTGAAATTTATCGCTAACAAGACCTGTGAACGATCGTTCGATGTTACGGTAACGATAACGCATTCATTCTTCGACACTCGGTCTCGAGTTCGGAGCATAAATAAACAGACTCCGTTTCCTTCGCTCGGTTCCTACAGACTGTAGCTTCGCAGTATCGATAAGGTGCCCCTCTTGTTGCACGACGCCTTTTTAATGCGGTCCCTCACACACTCATTCGACGATTCATTTATAAACTATTATTACTTGCGACCGATGAAATTCAAACACACATTTTGTATATTAATCGATCCCTCTGAAAGGATCTATGAGTCACTCCTAATAGAGATACGAGGTGGCTCGATTTGTCAGTCGAGCGGGATTTTTCGTCCTGAAAGGACTGCGCTTCTCGAGTTTCTTCGAATCGATGTGTCTTCTTATTTATCAATGATAGAATGTACAACAATGTTCCCTATAGTGAATGCGACAAATGTATTTTTCGATTTTTCTATATTTATTTCATATGAAGTGATTACGTAGAAAATTGTATGTGTAAAGGAAATTGTTAGCATTATTTTTGAAAGGATAATAATAGTTTTTTTTTTAAATGTAGTTTGTTTTAAAATTAATTTAGTCGTGCGTGCAAAGTTGAAGACTAAACGAATCAAAATAAATCGTATTCCGCGCTGGTAAATAATTAGTGGTAATTCTTCCCCTTTTTTCTTAATTACATGCTTTTTCTTATTTTGTGTATTTACAATAAAACGGTATATTCAAGCTTCGAACTCTGAGAATAAAAAATCTCTAAAAATTTACAGGGAAACATAAAAACGTGGTTTTTGAGAAAAAGAAAAAAAATTGATTTATCGATATAATGAGACTTGTAAAATAAAAATTTGTGAATCTAATTCGGTTAATACAAAATAGAGACACGTGTGGAGTTTATTGTGAAGTATAAAAGTTTAGAGTTATAGCCATAGTTGGAATGGTTGCTATCAAACATTTCTCACTGTTTTGTCAATAGAGCGGCATCTTACTCGTGTTAGTATTATATATATCGTCTTAAGTATTAGTATCAATTTCATCGATGTACAGTGCAGAAATAAAATGTTAGTAGCTGCGTTTGCTTTTGAAATCAATGTTTGAGTTCGATAACTTTACAAGTTCAGCTGGTTTCGCTGATATAAGGGATGAATATAACGATACATATAAAATATTTCGAGAGTATATTCCTATATAATTTTGAAATTATTTAAATTTGAAATATAGTCAATAATTAAATGCAATATACTTTTGTTATTTTCATAATTTTTTTTATTTATGTCATTTAATAATCGAAATATATATATTACGTTTATTACTTATTTTTAGTACATTTTTAAAAATCAATTTTATTAGTAATATGTATTTCTAATCTACTTTAGTCATACAAATAAGAGTTTATACCACGAATTCCTTTTTCGTATAAGTGATAAGCTTATTTGTTTGTAGAGATTGCACGAGAATATCACATATTATATTTAACATACTTTTATCTATAGATGCAGGATTTCTGTAGAATCACTCTTGGAAGCATTTCTTTCGCTTGTATGAATTGTGTTCTCTTTTTTATTATATATATATATATATATATATATATATATCTTATATATATCTTATATATACAAGATATATATATATATATATATATATATATCTTGTAACAATATTTATTTAATTCCATATATATATATATATATTTTACTCGAAAATACATATTATGTTATCTATATCTGTCATTAAAAATCAATAAGTAATTATAACGCAAGTCCTATCTTCCGCAAACACTGCCAAACCTATGTGTAAATTAGATACTATACCTTATTGTAACATTGGCATAGCAATCGATGCAAGGTAAACGGTAATGATCGATAAAACGCGCAAAAATCGAACCCATTGACATGAGATAGCGACATTTCATGAATCATGTTTTGTAAGCAAGAAAAAAAACAGGAAGAGGACGTAACATTATCGATAATGGATAGGGTATATTTCTGAATAAGATGCAATGTGGTGCAAGCGCGTGACGATGCAACACTTTGCAAGACAAGCTTATAGAATAATTTATTTAGAAAATTGCGTTATTTTATACCAGCGCGAGATGATGGTTTTATTTCATGAAAATTGTTAATTTACAATATTTTTTGTACGTTTTTTTGCGGTAGTAAGATTTTTTGTGGTTCCATGTTTAAATAAAATTTTACCTTTTTTTCGTAGACTACAATTCTCGATGCATTCGTATCCGGTCTGAGAAGCGGCGTGAAAAGTCTCAAACAGGACTATTAAGCAGATTTTACTCCAAGATCCAGATCTCACCGTTGATTACAAAAGCATCTCACGAGGATCTTCCGGTAGACATGTCTCGAGCCCCTCTTATAGCCTCTGGAGCACCTGAAGACGGTTTACAAATCGAGGATTGTTGCAATACAGTCATACTTGAGGTATATATCTAATGCATAATAAAACAAATTTTTTCGATTAAATCTAATTTTTGATATGATAAATTTAACACGAAATTTTTTTCGAAATTATTTACTTATAAGATTGATTACTTAAACTTGGTAATCCAATTTTTTAAAGTGCTCCGAAAATCAAGACATATATTATTAATTTATTTATATTTTTTTGAAATTATATTCAATAAAAACCTCCTCTTACTTTCTAATGTACAGTATTATATATATCATATATATTTTTAATTATCTTTTTTTTAAATTAGAAGCTGAAAAGAGAAAAAAGAAAAAAGGAAGAATTAATCATTTTCTTTACTTCTACAAATGAAACAATTAAAAATGTCTAGTCAATAAATATAATCAAGTTTCAATTAAAATGCCTAAAGCAAAGTACTTTAAATTACACTGTCTTTTGTATGCACGATTTGAAAGGAACATTAATAATGATTGATACATTCTGAAACACAGGTTGGATTACCTGGCGATACGTGGACGTATTGTGTCAACCGAGACCAATTAGCCAGAAAATCAGAATGGTTTCGGGCGATGCTCACAGGTCCGTTAGCACCACCACTGGCAGATTCACCCCCGTTGTTGCAGTTGCAACACGTTGACAAGCGGGCGTTTAATCACTTTTACAAGTATAAATTTATTTTTAACTTAATTTAAAAGGTGTCTGTTGACTTGTAATGAATGTTATTTGAGACTGCTAAACTAAGCTATTTTTTAATTTAAATATGTATTAGAAATGTCCGCGTTAATCGAGATAATCTTGATAAGAATCTTGCATATGTGACATTCTTTTTTATTTTTTCGCTCAAAATGCGAAATATTATGTAATATATATTCTTACAATAGTCAAATAAATTATTTTCATTTCATAAAAGTAATTTCCTTCTTTGATTCTCTGCTTTTGTTTTTAATAGTATGTTCAATTGTACAGATACCTTCACAACGAGCCCGTCAATTTGATATCAGTGTCGACAGCCAGGGCTACGCTCAACGTGGCTCATCAGTACCTTTGTCCAGGACTGGCGAAACTCTCTGTGTCATATCTCGAGAATAATTTAACACCATCGACGGTACTCGAGATTTATCAAGGTCTGAGACTCTATACAAACGATCTGAGAGAGGGAGAACATTCTGATTTTGATAGATCGCCAAATTCGCCGATAGCACCGTCCGGAGACGACACCGGTGAGACAGGTATGCGTCGCTATGCTATTGTATGCGACAGGTATGCTCTTCTTCTCGATTACGTGCAGTTTTCTTTGGACACAATCACGATTGTGAATAAATATTCAATTATTATTTGCGTTTAGCAACGAGTAAAGTTACAGCATTAAAAAAAGTTATATATATAATTTAAACTGTCTTTTTTGTGAAATTAAAAAAAAGCCAGAAACTAAAGGAAAAAGTTGTTTCCTTTGTCTCGTTTAATATTTCGGATATTTTATTTTAACTAATATTTTTGCTTATGCTCTGTGCAGTCGTTGGATTACCTGTGTCCACCACTGTGTGCACCGATCTTCTGCTCAAGTGCCTGTCTGTGATCGACTCGAATCCGGCGACAGTACTGGGCCAAGAACGTTTCGAGGAACTCAGCGCCCAGGAAGTTGCTGAAATAGCATATCGCGATACTCTAAATCTCGGCAGCGAGTGCATCCTGTTTTCCGCGTTGGACAGATGGGCAGCAGCTGAATGTAGAAGACAAGGAATTGAACCTCTTCCGGTCAACAAGAGATTTGTACTCTCGGACGACATTTGCTTCAGCGTGCGATATCTCCTTATGAACGATCGGGAATTCGTCAGTGGCCCTATGGCAAGTGGTATTTTGACGAACGAAGAGTGCGTACACATTGTCTCCAAGATACTTGGACATCCCGAGAACTCGAAAAATGATAACGTAAGTATGTTTAATCATTGCTTACACATTTATTTCTCTTGAAAATATTCTTGATTAAAAGAATTAAATTAATTATAACTATAAATAAAAGTTGATGCGTATACATTTTATTATTTTAATTTGACTTATATTCTTATGAAGGATTTTTTTTACAAATTTGCAGCTTCGGAGTTCCGCTGCTGTTCATCCGTCCAGATTGTCTAATGTGCCCAGGATTGGCACATATAAATGTGACGAAGACTGCAATTTGTTGAGGCCGGGTAAAAAAGAACGGCAGGATAATCGAAAAAATAGAAGAAAAGAATGTGCCAGTCAAGGACAGAGAACATGCGCTCGAATTGGAAACTGCCTTATACAAATTCTAGCTTGCATGTTTGATTAAAAAATGCTCGTTCTTGATTAAGAAAATTTTAAAATCTCCCACCGAAAAATATATTTTGTTATTTTTTTATATCACTTTATCATCTTTTTGGTTACAATATCCTCGAGCTCGAGGAACCAAGATATAATAAGATAACAAAAATTAAAAGCGTCACAAAAGTTAAAGATATGTTTAATAATTATCTGAAAAATTATGGTAACATTTAGTTACTTATAAGGCAATCAAATCTGATATTTATAGATTATCAGCATAATTGCATAATTAAAGTTTATATATGTTACAGACTTTTTGTAAAAGCGATCTTTTGTACAAAAAATCTCAACTTATTTAAAGCTTGAAATTTTTTTATAGATGCACGTTTTATAAAAAAAACTTAGGCTTTTTGTAAGGAGATTAATTTATAAAAAATTTGCAACATATATAAATTTTGAAATTGAATATTTTTCATTTTAAAAACTTCAGAGCGCTGTTTGTTGTAAAAAAAAAAACGTTTTCATAAATATTTTTTATTAATATAATTTTGATGAATACGGAGAGGTAACCGATTCCTATCATTATTGGAATATTGTTAAGAATTAATTAGATATATTAAAAAAAAAATTGCGTAAATTGCGATATTTTTGAAGGCAATAGAGACTGAGATATATAGAAAGAAACATTTTATAATGTTTTTAGAGGCATGTATAGAAATCTCTAATTTTTATTTATAAGATACTATTTTAAAAAGAATGAGATTGTGTGTGTATGCTGACGTTAAAATTTTTCTATTATGTAAAAATTTTAAATTGTTACGTGTCACTTCCATTTTAATATTATGGAAATATTTTGCTGTTTACACGTTACTTTGTTATTTTAGGAAATATTTTATCTTCTCGCTTGCAGCTTTCATAAAATCTATATTTGCTATATCAAGATATTTCTGCTTTACAATATATGAAATTGGTTTTCCATAATATATTTCAGTCCATGATGTATTTTATAAAATTTTAAGACTTTTATTCACATCCAAAAGAAAATTATATTTACAAATATAAATTATTAATTCAACTCTAGAACGTATTTTGTTAATAAACATCTTTCTTAAAGATTTTGTAAAGCTGGCATATACCAAAGTATGAGAGAATATGTAATCGACGCTGCTGCAAACGTGTATCCTGTTGAGTATAATCACGATGTCTTCGTTGTGTTCATAATTGTTGTTCAGAGTATATGATCTTCAAATTATTTATAATGATGATATATATAGAACCATGGCTGGTCCGTGAGAATAAGTGACGTATAAAGATATATCTTGTAAATTGCTAATCGAAAATCGTTAAATTAAATTTTTATCTATTTTAATATCTTCCATTAATTTTTGAAAATTTTATTTTATTTTTTTTTATTTATTGAGAATCAACTTTTGTTTTTAAATTTCCTTAAATTTCTTTATTTTAATAATATGATTATAAATTGAATATTTTAAACAAAAACACATTTTTGAAAATTAAATATTAAATATATAATAAAAATGAAAAAAATGAAATTTATAATACTAATAATATTAATAAAGATTAGCAAATTTTTAATAGTTTTATATACGAGACATTGTGCATTCTCACGATATATTGGTGTATCGTTGCCATTTATAATTAATTTTTTAGTTGAATTTTTCAACATCTATAATGAATTTCGCACTTTTATTGTATATGCTTCAATAGAGTTACAGACTGATCACGCGATAATGTTTTTATTTAAAACCTCTGTGATTGTTGAGAGAAGTTAGGGAACAGATTGAAACAAAATAATTCAAAACTCTGTTTTGAATATATGTTTTACATTTATATTCTTGTTTATAAAATATAAATTTTCCTTCTATGTAAAATATCGATATTACTTTTTACTTTTGCAAATCTAATCAGAACGCCATTTATCGCAAATCCAAGTTTTTTGTAGTAGAGAAAAATAATATAAAAAAAATTATCAACACTAGTCACATACTGATTTGTTTTTTTCCAAATAATTCAATTACCAAATATATTATTAATTTCTTGCGTGCATATTAGAAATGAATATGTTTACCAATGTAAATGAGAACGTAAAATAGATCAAATAATTAAACATAGATAGTAATCTGTGTTGTGTTGTAGTTATAAATTTATATTTAGTGAAAAGCATGTCGCTTCAATAATAAATTATTGAATGGAACTCAAGAGCATAATGTAAATAAAATATGTACACCAAAAATGCTGAACATAGTATTCTGCATTAATAAAACTGTTACTAATTAATTGTTGCTGTATTTTATATTATTTATACAAATGTAAGTTAATTTAAATAATATTTTAACAAAATATTTTCAAATTTTGATTTAATATTTTATATCACTTTTCACTTGATCTTTTTATATATAATTTTTTTATGTATAATATTTACTTATTTATGTGTCCTAGATGTTACTACATCCAATAATTCATCAGCTAATTCTTCAAATCGATCTGCTTGTTCGCAATGTGTTAAAAGCAGTCGACTGAATTTTTCATAGCCATAAAAAGCACCTGCTATTGCGCCGGTCATACTAGCAATTGTGTCTGTATCGCCTCCCAAAGTAATCTATAAAATAATAACAAAGATTTTTATGATATTAAAGTATAATATAAATGGCATTTTGAGATATTTTTCTATGCAATATCAATATAATTAATCTGTATGTATTTGTGTTGTCGTTTTTTATAAAATTTATAACTTACAGCATATTGCATTGCTCTTCTAACAGGATTATTAGTTCGTATTCTTTTTATACGTTTTTGTGCTTTTAAAAAACAAAAGATTGCAGTAGGGACTGATTCCAAAGCTCTGACATTAGCACCCAATTCTTTAACTATTCTCTGTTCATTAGGCTCTTCTCCAATTTCGGAAAGTAGATTCTTTACTATTATTAATCGTTCTTTATATGGTTGGCTACAATTTATAATGCCATTATTAGAATTTTTGTTTAAATATATCTATATATATGTATATTGTATACTAAAACATACCTTTCACCAACCTCAATTTTGTCTATTTTATTTATAAGATCATTGATAAAATTAGAAACGTTTAATTCTTCATTGGGATGTAAGCATAGACTTTGTTGAATTGCTATAGCCTGTAACAACAAACTTTTGTGACAAATATCTATTATAGATATATTAAATGGAATTTTTCCTCTTATTAATGTAAATCAATTTCCAGTTACTTGTAATAAAGCACCATTTATCCCCAACTCATGTACATGTGTAATTTGTGTCACTTCTTTCACATAATATAAAAGTTTATCATAATTGTTATATGAAAACAATGATACAGGTGCAATCCTCATTGCACCACCATTACCATAAGAACCTCGACCATCAAATATAGTCTTTGCTGGACCTTTGACATCGATTCCTGGGTCAATTTTGTTATTCTTTAATTTTCTTAATTTCTTAAGTACCTATATATAGAAGATTTATTATAATTTATTATTATTACAAACTATATATAGCTATGGAAACATTATAAATGTAATTATAATTGTAGAAATAGATATCTCTTATAATTGTTAAAGTATCTTATTATACATTAGTGTTTGAACATGCATCAGACATAAATGTGAATGTATGATATTAATTTGTATATATCTAACATTAATTTTTTAAATATATTTCTTTAAAATAAAAATTGATTAAAACTATATAAATAAATGCTAAAACTGTATTAATACTGACATTTATACTACCAGTTCCATAACCACGATAGGGCTCTTGATAATAACTTTCCACAAATCGTTTTGCTACATCAACAATGTCCAAATCTCGTTTTTCAATCAAGGACTCAGCTATAGAACGGGTCATTGCCGAGTCATCTGTAAACTCCATGACAGGTTCTATAAAAAGAATTTATATTTATCATATATTAAATAATAATCACAGTCAATTAAAAAATTGATACTTATTTTACTAAATAAACTAAAATACAAAACTAGAAAACTAAATTTTGTGCAGCAATAATTTGCGTAAAAAATTAAAAATAAAAAGTAGACAAAGATCATTGAGAATCTTTATTATAAATAAAAAAAACTTTGAAACAAAAATCCAACCTCTGAATCTTGTTCCCTCCAATGCATCGAGTCTTCGTTGTAAGGCAATTTTTTTGCGGGCCGACACAACTTTTTTACCCTCGTATGGACTTCCAAGAATATCTCCGACCAAAACGCCCAGCATCGCACCGCGAAATTTACTTTTTAATAATGTCAAATCCATGTTTTTAATATATTTCTACGCGGCAACCTAACCTAACCAAATCTGACTTGAATTGGAGTACATCGTATTTGACATTTGACGCGCTTGCGCGGAAAAGAAAGCCTATCTATTATACTGATTATTCTATGACTGATGCATGCGCGCCAAAAACGAGATATTACAAGCGCGAAAATAAAAAAATAATGTACATATTATCAAATTTTTTAAATATAAATTACATCATTTAAATTTGCCGTGGGTTTATTGGAAAAAAATAATTAAAATTTCTGAAAAACATGCATGGGGAATAAGAATATTAATTCTTCTGGAATAATAATTAATTTTTCCTAATACAATGAATAAAGCTTATTTCTATGTCATATTATAAAAATCATCATACATGTTTCAATATTTTTTATTGTGTCTCTAAAAATTTGTATATAAAATAAGAAACAGACAGAGTCAAACAGAGTATTCTTTTATTAAATATATATTTAAATGACAATTTGACGGGACTGTTTTTAATGCGCATGCTCGGATAATTATATGTATACGTATATATGTTATATTGTATATATGTGTGTTTTTTTATATAGCATATCATCCGCATATGTATATATTGATTACTTCCGCTGACTATTATATATAAGAATGTCGAATCATTTTGTATATAAAATTCGATACACAAATTTAACTGACGTAAATATTTTAAGCCGGTTCGCCTATACTAAGAGATCCGAAAAGTTTTTAAAACGCTGACATTTTATTTATAATTACTTGTATAATTGAAAACTATATTGTGAGGAATATTTGCGCGATCGTATCTTTTTACTAATAAGATATGCATGCTTATCCGGTCGGAAACGAGCAATTAATTAATCTAACATTAAAGCCACAAATAGAGCTTAAAGGGGGAAACATCGTTTAGTTAAACTTACTTTGATATAATCTTCTGTTCATTAATTACGCGAACTAATTTCTAAACTCTACTGCAAAGAAGATAAGGCAGATAGTAGGTACTCTAATTTGTTTTTTCTTAATTGATAAAGGTCATCTCTGCGTTACATAAATTTTTCTTTCAAGTAACGATATTTACGTCGAAATATTTATGACTTAATTTATCTTACGTTAATTATTATTAATATATAATATAAATATTATTATTATAAATGTGAAAATTATATTTGACAATTTACTTTATAATTTGATAATTTTTATTATTCATTTATCGTTATGATAATCATTTACACGTGTAAGATGATTATTAATTTCTTAAATCTTGATTAACAAAACTTGTCGCGTTTGCAGTAGATACTACTTATTCAAATTATTACTTTCTGCCACGCCATGCTTGCGTGATTATGTCATATTAGCGTGACAGAATTAAATCTGTTAATTTGCGAGATGACTTATATTCTCCGTAATTGATTTTTATAATTCGTCTATTTATTTTCTATCTATATATATTTCTGTTTTTAATATATATCTCTGCCTATTTTCCAGGATACGCTTTTATCTCTTAATATTAAAATAATGCATTATATACATATCCTGTAAAAAAAATGCAATAGTATTATTCATAAGAGTAATTTTCATCTGTGTGTTAAAAAACCCGCGATTTATATAATTATAATTTATGAAAAATTTCAAATATATACGACGCTAACTTTACGACAAAAAATTTTCGACATAGGGGGTCATTCGCGGGTTGGTACCCCTCGTGTCCCGAATCAAGTGAATATAGAATCCACGTATCAGGCAGCGTCGTGAAATTGGCACATAGTTCAAATGTTTCGTAAAAAACTCGTAGTATTGCTTCGCGCGTAACGAACGTCGGACGGGACGAGCGATGCAACGAGTGATCGTCGTATTTCGCGAGATTTATTCGTTCAAAGTGCATCGCGAGTGCTCGGAAAGATCGGAAATATCGCGCGGAGCGACGAGCAGTTATCGTGTATCGCGTTAATTCGATATTCGGGAATAAATAAGTGTGGAAAAAGAAAGGAACGGAACATCGCATCGGCGGCTGGATCGCGATATAATCAGTCCGTTTTTTCATATAATTCGTGTGACCAGCCACGATTTTCCGGTCGTACGTGTTGTGAATAAGTGAATGACTCTTGATATGAATTGATAAAAGTGTCATCAACTGTTGATTCGAAGCAGCGAAAGGATCAAGGATTATCAGTGCATCGGACAAGGACAACGAGAGCCAAGTATATGTAAGTCCATCCTCTTTCAACGGACAGTTACATAAAATAGTTGAATAGATGCGATCTATATTGATCTACGTCTATGGTAGTCGACCGCGCGGTAGTTTGCCGCGCCGCCGCCGCTGCCGCGCTGCGATTGGCCGAGGCGCTCGGCCAATGAGCGGCGGCGGTGGCTAGGCGCGCTCTACCCGGGCGACCAGTGTACCGCCGGTCGCGTATCTGTTCGGATCGTTTCTGTCGTCGGGCTCGCGCTCGTGTTATTTTCAACCCTCCCGCGGGCGGGCACCGGTAGTGCATCGCGAGAATTTCCGGATATCCTTGCTGCCGTTCTCTTTCTCTCTCTCTTTCTCCTTCGAACAATGATCGGTACGAGTCGATGTTAAGGGCCGGCGCGACGGGATCATGTTATGGAGATCGAGGCGAGTTGACATCCTCGTGTCTCGTCGCCGCGACGTCGGGCGGGTCGTCAACCGCGTCGCCGAGTGATTCACCCGCTCGAATCGACGACGCGAGCCGTCATTGTCATCCTCATTGCCGCCGCCGCCGCCGCTGATGCAGCCGCGTGCGAGCCGCTGCTGCCTCTCGCTCCCGGGACCGTCGCCGCGATCCTCGCGCGTTGACCAAACGGGAGATCCGCGATAGGTTACGCGCGCGACGCGCGTTTCCATCCCCTTTTCCCTATCTACCCGCGCTCTGGACCGATAAGAGTCGTTGCAGAGAGTTATCGCAGTGCTGCTACCGCCGACGCATCCTCTCCTTCGTTAACAGGTGACCATTTTTTAATATGCAATTTTTTTATTTTTTTTTAAGCGACACGACCTGGGGAATATCGCCTCGTCTTGTCAAGCTTGTTTAAAAGCTTCGATCCGATATCAGTATTAGCGATACTAATTTTTTTAGTGAGATAGCGACAATAATGAGAAAAGAAGTCGGTGATGAGTAAATGTTAATTAAATTGTAAATTAATTAAAATTTTAAACGTTATGCTACGGTATGCGCGAGAGAGATTTCTCCTGTAATATCTCATTATATGTTTCATAATACGTATACTCCCCTCTTGCACTCTAGTAGCTCAATATCCATTAATCAAACTGTAATGTTCAATTTTGGGGTGTAAGAAACGATACTGCACATTAGAAAATGTAAAACAAATCCTCGTCCGTTTTTGTACGCTCAGCTTAGCGTCTGTTAAGTATATTATGATAATTGAAACAAACGACTTTGAAATGCAAATCTTGTCCAACGTCTCGAAAAAAAAAAATTGTATAATTAAAAAGTTATTTACGATTCGCAATCGAGTTCACATTGAGCACAATCGACGCGTATAAGAAATAACAACAGGTTGCTAAAAACTGATCTCGCAATTCAGTAAAAAAGAAGTTTAACTCAAAGTTCACATAGTCGAATATGTACGGAAAAAATATATAATCCTATCACTCAAATTATGAAGTCATTATCTCATTATTGACTATCTGTAATTTTTCGTTACATTTCTTTCCGATAAGAAATTAGTTATTTTTGGAAAATTTATTGGCTTACGTAATTTTTTAGTAAGTAATTATTAGTATAAATATGACTATAAAATTGTTAATATGACTATAAATTTTCCGTCGTTTAATTATTAAATGAAATAGAATGCGAGATAATTGCGATACAAAAAACAAATTCAAAGGTTTGTGAATGTCAAAGACTTTACTTTTGATGAAATGCATTGCTGTTCTTGTGACATTTTTTAACATTTTCCTGAAATGCTAGTTTACATAAATTTACCATTGTAATTGTTTCCGCGTCATTAAGCACAGGTACGACGAAGAGCTTTATTTATACACCGTATACAATATGCCTATTGACCTCATATATGTATACCATGTTGCTTTATATCCACGCGATCGTAGCGATATAAATATTTTGACATTAATCTTTAACATTTTCCATTAAAAATCCGCGTCTATTAAGATTGATTAAAGCAGCATAGCGCGTAGAAAAGTTGTTGCACCGCAAATCGCCTCGGGGCGGTTTTGTTAGTGGTATTATTATCTTTTACTTTATCTTTTACATTAATATCAAATACCAGAGCCATATTATTTTGTATTACTATAGATATATTATTCTCGGTACCGAATGTTTCGGATAAAAAAAAATTCAGAAAAATTTCAAGTTAAATAAAAATGCGAATTACAAAGAGTAAGGTACATTTTTTACGCGATTTTATCTAAGAAAAATATATGAAAAAAATTGCTACGCTAATTTAATTAAATTAATAGATCTGATGTAAAAGTTTTTCTGCTCCCTTTTCTCGTTTATTTCTTAACTTCTTTCCGTGCCGAGAGAAAAAGTACCCTGATAAAGAGAAACAAGGTAAAGATTCCGTATATCGGTAAGTCCCTATACCTCGTGCTGTTAATCTCATGAGAGAGAATTACGCTTTCTGGCTTTTGTCAATAAATTTCGAGCGACCGCACCCCGAATCGATTTTGAAGAAGTTTTGGCACGGTAACCTTTTGCGAAGTCATCGATTTTTATGCGAGCGAGATATTCGCTCGTCTTACCCCCCTCGGGCTATTTTTACGATCTTTCTTCGCGGGAGTGACCCCGAAATCTAGATCTAAGACGCAGCTTCAGCTTATGTCCTTACTTAATGGTGATTAATAGCGTGTATGCACGCTACTATCAAACCGGAAGGGGGGCAAGTTTAATCCCTAGAATCGCGAAGAACTTTGAGCACCCGCGGTTGAGATATATATATATATATATATATTATATCAGATTCCTCCGCTTTTTATTCCCCCTTATTCGAATCCATTTTTATTCGTAATGTCTTTCCTTCATGTGGGACTTATGCCAAGCGCCGAGAAATCACGCGCCATTACCGATGTAAATAACAAATACCACAAAGTGAGTTCTCTCTCTTCAACATCACGACGAATTTCAATATTCGGTTTTGTAAGAATATTCTGCGAATGCAGGAAATTACTCAATTTTTCGAAATGCAAAAATAGCTTCGAAGATATATAATTTCTATTCGAAACGTAAAATTGAAGCGACGTTCAATTTCCACTCAATCGACAGTGATTCGTAAATATAATAATAAATATGGAAACTCTCATATATAATAAAGAATGATTATATTATTCGTTATATAAAAAGGAGAATTACATTTTTTTTTTTAAACAAAGCTGGAGTATATTACTTCGAAGGAGAATCTCTCTCATGCATATTTCGTATTCGCGTCCCCTTTGGGCATCAGGGACTTCGTCACCCGTTCAGTTGTAAAGACGAAATTAATTATCCGATCGGAGGGAATATTGATATAATCGATAAACGCGTGGCATGTAATTAGAACGTTAAAAATATCGCGCTTTATATTACACGTCCGTTACTAACTGAATAGCATACGGTTCGTTCGTACGAGGAGATCACGTGGGAATTATTTCTCGTTCGAAAAAGAGAGAGAGACAGAAAATTTGACGTGTCTCGACAGACGCGCAGAGATCGAGAGAAGGAAGTGAAGCGAGACGCAGCGGATCTCGATAAAGAAAGAAAAAAAAAAGCCGCGTGACGATGACGGGAAACGTGACGACGATGATGGTGTGACGTCACGGGACGCCGGAAATAAAAGCGGAACAGGAAGCGCGGGAAAGGGAGCCGCCGCTCGCCGTCTTGTTCGGCTCTCGACAATTTAGGCGGCGGCAGGATCAAAGGTCATGGCGACCCCACCGGACTCGCCGGGACCGGAAGAGGCGTTCTTCGAATTCGAGACCTCGAGGGCGAGGCAGCAGACCACCAGGCCGGTGCCTATCGAGGAGCTTCTGCGACAGACCAAGTTCTCCCGCCAGGAGATCCGAGTCATGTATCGCGGCTTCAAGCAGGTATTGTGCATGTTTCTCTCGACCTATTGGAGCATACTATCGATTCCCTCCCCCGGGGTCATAAACGCGAAATTATGCAAAAAGGGCGCAGAAATGTGTTCTAACCATTTTTATTTCGAATCTCGAAGAAGATAAAACAAGGAATGTACAATATTTATCAAATAACAGGGTGTCTAGCGATCAGGAAAATTGGGAAAACAGGACATTGTCAGAAAATTTTATAAATCTGAAATTGTCAGGGAAAAGTCAGGAAATTTTACTGTTTATCTGGATTTTTAACGTTATTCTACATTTGTCTCAATAATTTGAAATTTTTTATTACAGAAATATAAACTTTCTCTTGACTCCCAGCGTGCTAATTTTCTGTGTTGTTAAAAATCGATTCATCTACAGCGTGTTCGTTAATTTATATTTTCATCGTTGTGTTATTTTATTTCAATGTATTTGATAGAAACAAAATTAAAAAATTTGATATAATATAAATAAAAAAGGTGATTATTTAAATAGTTTTAGTGACATGTTTTCGATTATCGTGCATGATGCAGATTGTATAATTGATTTAAATTTTTGTTTTTTTTTAACTTCCGAACCTTTTCATTGTTGACAAAAATATCTCAAGGGTTTCATGATTTAACATTTAATTGATTTCTCATATAGATATATGCAAATTATATATTTGAAAAAAATAATACTAAAAAATCAATGAAAAATTAAATTCTGATCTTGGAAAATCTGAAACAATCAGGGAATTGTTTTCATTGAGTCTGCTGGACACCCTGAATAACATGTTGTATACGACAGAATATTTTGCAGTGTTATCGCACTCTACCATCAATTAATTTTCATTGTTGGATTTTATATGTATGTTACGTAACTCTTATAAATATGATAGTTTTTCTTCAATTTATTTTGACGAACAATATTTCTTCGACTCTACTCTTGCATAGTTTTGCAATTCTAGTCCACGTTGGCAGTTTTTAAAAAGTGCTTTAACTTCCGAAAACGGAAGTCTCGAAAAGAGCGCAAACTACTTGTCTGGAATATTTAACGAGCAGGAAGATGACTGTAAAATTCTCATATTTTATTACTTTTAAATATATCATGAAGCATTTAGCTAGAAAAAATGTTTGAATTAAATATTAGAAAGTCGAGCGTGTGTATAATTAAATCAAACTCTAGAATCTATCGATTTGAACTTGAAATTCCATTCGAGGGCATGATTTCCGAACATTGTTTTGTTCGACGTCGTCAAGATTACAGCAACGATAACGATAGCTGACAGTGTCCGCAGCTTGTATTTTTAACTCCTTCTTTATTAAAGATAGTCCCGCAAAGTATTGATTATATTCACGGACATCCCACAGAAATTGTGTTAACTCGGTTACGTAAATGAATTGATTACAGCGCCGCTGGGCGCGAGCTATCGTTAATAAAAAGAGATTTCTTTCCGATTGACTTGCCGCGTCATCGTCGAATCTCTTCGGTTTTTCGTATCTTTCCTAATTTATATGCGCAGAGAATTTTCCCTTAGAATAATTTACCCTGAAAATCATGTTAATCGTGAGACAATATGGTATTGGAAGAATTTTGCAAGTTTCTCTGATTAATATTTAGTACAATAAAAAATATATTAATGTCTATGAATAAAATATAAAATATATTCGATTAATACATATTAATATTTTTTATTGTGGTAAATATTAATCAGAGAAACTCATAAAATTCTTCTAATATCATATTGCATTGCCCCACGATTACCATGATTTTCACAGTAAATTCTAAGAGAAAATTTTCTCCAGCATGTATTTGCGACAAGCAAATTTTCTATCCTAGTTGCAACATAGATAAGCGTTCAATTGTGAACAAATCCGCCGACACATTTGCGAGATTTTTCGAAAATTAAAGTATGAAACTCTACAGATTAGAAATATCTGCTGTGTATAGTGATTAATGGTGCTTACTGTATTTTTATACATTTTTATTTACATTTAATATTGCGTTTTTATCGCACAACATCATGTTAGGGTTGACGTCTATAATAATCAAGCATAAATTGGATTAAGAACGCAGAGGAGTAATTGTTACGGACATAAGGCATTTATATCGATCAGTAATAAAACTTTTAACTTATAATGTCAGGTTGAAAAGGAAAAGCAGAGCAGAATGTACCTACGTATAGATAAACGACCGAAACAAATGCGCGATACGAGTTTGATATATACTAAACGAGAAAAAACATTCATATATAGATTTGTTTTTTAGTTGGTAAATAACACGAATGTTTTTAGTTTGCTGTTCTGCTTCCAATTTATAGCCAGAATTACGACCGCATTTCATATTGTTCCGTCCGTATCTTTTCGATAGAATGAATTTTAACAGAAGCTAAATCGCGCATATTTTTCATGATATATAAGTAATAATGTGTGTTATTGAATGAATAATAACATTCGTAAAACGTACCTCTATTTTATCTCTACTTTTGTTACATTTATTCGCAGATTTAATTTTAAATCACTTTCTCTCAAAAATGATCTGAGAACTTAAAATAAAACATTAATTACATATTATGTATATAATTATAAATGCATTGATAAAATACAAAATCTGTAATTATATATACAATATATTATACACGGAGAATTTTCTTTTAGAGTTTACCCTGAAAATCATGGTAATCGTGAAACAATATATGGTAGTAGTGGAAGAATTTTATAAGTTTCTCTGATTAATATCTACCACAATAAAAAATATTAATATGTACTTATTGTTAGTAAAATTAATCGAACATATTTTATATCTTATTTTATGGTAAAAATATTAATTAAAGAAACTTATAAAATTCCTTATTATCCCACGATTACCATGATTTTCAGGATAAATTCTAAGAGAAAATTTTCTCTGTGTGTATAAATTATTATAACAAATTTTCTATATTTAATAAATATATATAGAAATGAATGCACATTCTGATTAAATCTAAATATTCTCTTGAATATATTTCCTCGAATATCTCCAGCACGGTTGAAATACTCGAGGGTATCCGTGATTTTGAAGCGTAATTATGCGCGCATATATATAATAACTTCCCTCTCTGCGTATGCACGTAACTTTGCGTCATGCGTGTGACGGGGCTCTTCATTCATGCCGTGTGAGTGGATCCGCGTCAGAGGACGACGGAGGATTCGTGCTTTCCTCATATAACCTCGGCGCATAATTTTTCGCTGACGCACACGGTTCGATGAAGCTCAAAAGCTTCCAAGTTCGATGCGCGCTCCGTTAATTTAGCGACTCTTGTGAAATATTCACCGGGCAAGTATGTATGGTCGCACAATAGCCACAAAACGCGGCTGTTGACAATGTTGTGTGCGCGGTGTGTAAAGTAATGGTGGCCGACAGTCCACCTGAGCCAATGCGCGGTTCTCTCTTCAAGGCTCGCTAACGTAAATATCCTCGCCAGCTTTTTTCCCTCCCTTGCCCTCTGCCCTTGCCGCTTGTTTTATATACGATCTATCCTGGAAAAAGATATGCGCGCTGCGCCGATGAAGCTGCGCGTCTCTATATATCGTGATTATAACCGTAAATCACACACACCTATCCGCATTCTCAAGGGAATCGAGAACTGCAAATTCGCATAAAAATATATTCCAATTTTTATTTTATTCCGTGAAATCCATTTGAAGTAAATTTCTCTTTTTTATGTAAATGTCATCATCAACTTTTATTATCGAATTTTAGATAAATAATATTATTATTATTATATTTATCTTTTGGAACACCTCTTTGTGTGTATATCTGTATTGGCGCTAGTTTCACACTTGGATGCACATATCTAGATGGTTTGATGAGTGCACCACGTGTAAAATTCTGCCATGCACGAAAATTACATATTCCCCTTGATGCTCTCGTTTATCGGGATTTATTCCCGGATGGATGCGGTTTTGGAATTCGAGAGAGCGAAAGAGAGAGAGAGAGAGAGACCATGTCACGCGCGCATATGAGGTACTCTTTTTTTCAGAGACTGTGAAAGAATAGAGTCTCTCTCTCGTGGAACAGCTATTTGAATTTATTGCGACCGCGGGAATACTGTCTCGTAAAAAGTGGATGTGTTTCTTGGACATTTTTGCTCGCGGGAAATCACCCACAAGATAGCCGTGATTGCGTTAGACGGGCACATATGTGAAAGATTGCTTTTATGTAAAAATTGCATTCTGATGACAAAATGAATTGGAATAATTGTAATAATTCGCTACGCTTGAATTATAGAGATACACGTTTACAGAAAAAGCTGAAGAAAGGAAACTATATAGGTATATTATATATTAATTTTTCTCTTCCATTAAAAATAACATTGAATATAATTATAATTGTACATTACTTTTATTAAAATTTAATGATAATGATAATATTGGCAAGAAAAGAGCAGCGGGCACAAAGCAGTTTATTAAATACATTACGAAATATTGGATGCAGCGCTAATAAACATATCGCGTGTTGACACACCTGTCGCATTTATGCCGATTTATATTAGCGTGAGGTAGAGAAAAATACAAGAGTCGCGATAAACGTAAAAAAAGAAAAAAAACGCGAGAAAATATGTCTACATATATTTTCACATTGCAAACATTTTTTCCCTATTATTTACAGAATAATGGTACATTCCGTATGACGTACGTTCTCATACATCAGTTCTGTTTTTTAACATTTTTTTAGAAATGTGACACACACACATATATACGTACCTATATGTGTGTGTACGTGTCTTACTTTTTAGGAAAGATAAATTTACGGAACACGTGTGCGCACGCGCGTATATTTATCAAGATTCTTAAACCAGGGTGACTTGTATATTTCGGCAAGGGCACCGTTTATATCGCCCTCGACTTTTCGACTATTTATTCAACTTGTGCGGGAGCTCTTCGTCCTGTTCACTCGCTCGTATCTCGTGTACCTTGACGTATCATACAACATGCAGTAACATTCCCACCGTTCGCATACTCGAA